AACTGAACCGATGCTGAACCACTGAGCCAACCCAGACCGTACCCAAATCGAGTCGAACCGTCAGACCGAACTGTCGAACCGAACCGTGCGTTGATCAGACCGTTGACTGATCCGATTCAGGTAAAAAAAATTTTTTTTATATATTTTTTATTAATATTTATGCATATTAAAATATTTATATTTGTTAGACTAAATGATGAAATATGTGGTTAAATTTTTTTTATATAATTTTGTTAATTTTTAAAATAAACTTTAAAAACAAAATAATATAAAAAATAAATTTAATAATAATACTAAACTAATAAAAAATATAGGAAAATAAAATTTTTATCCGACGATGAGATTCAAAGGTATTCCGAGTAGTGATGCCTAAGAAATCTGTAGGTGAGAAGATTTTTTTAAAATACTATCAGCGTATTAGAGTATTTATAAAAAATTTTCAATACAGTAAAATTTTTTTTAAATAATAAATAAAAATTGATTAATATATTAAAAATATAAGTAATAAAAATGAGAAGAAAAAAAATTTAATCCAATGATGGGATTCTAAAAGTATTCCGAGTAGAGATGCTTTAAAAAATTTCTAGGTGAGAAAATTTTTTGTAAAATATTACCAGCGGATTGGAATATTTATAGAAAATCTTCAATATAATTAAATTCTTTTTCTTCAAAATTTCAATTTTAAATAAGAATATTAATAAAATAATTAATAAAATTTCTAACAAAGGAGAATAAAATGTGTGCATAAACATAGTAACATTTTGCATTGCATGCATGATTTTTTTTTACGAAAAGTAAATATGAGCCTCCGAGGATGAGATTCTAAGGTATTCCGAGAAGCGATGCCTAAGAAATCTCTAGGTGAGAAAAAGTTCTTCTAATGTTACCAACTTACTAGAACATTTTAAGAATTATTTCAATAAAAAGGTTTTAATTTATTTTTCTCGAGAATAATTTTTTTTTATAAAATAAAAATCAAGGAAATTATTTTTCGAACACCGAAAATTGGACTATTTTTATAAAAATCAAAGGATAACACGTTGTTAGTTGGTACCGTTTTTAACGGGTGCTGTGGGGTGCTAATCTTTTCCTACGCGTAACCGATTCCCGAATCCAAACTGTTTCGCAGACCGTAAAATTATCTTTTTTAATAAATTTTAATTAATTTTAAAACTTTATTAAAAGGATATGTTTTAATAGGTGGCCAATCGCACCTAGCCAAAAAAAGATTGGTAGCGACTTCGTTATTTTTTATTTCGTTTCTAAATTCGTTGAACGGACACAAAACCGTTACGACAGAGACAATTGGAAACTTCCCTGCAATGTTGTATGCAAACAAAGATTGGACAAACAAAGACCAGTGGACTGCTTTTCATCTCTACTTATTCTGTCTTTATTATATGGCATTGGAAATTACTTCGAAACTTAACTGTAGGGATAGTGTGAAATATTGTAACTTGAACACCAAGTCACAAACATTATTCCATCTCTTCTCTCGAAAACGAAATATAGAGCAGCTAAAGAAGTTCAGCAACACATAAATATTTACAAAACTTAACGATTCTGGGGAAAACAAGAGTTGCAGAAATGATGACGGGTGAAAAAGTTGAATCTGAATTTGAATTAATTTGGAACTTGAAATGACTTAAGCCTAAATTGGAATTAACTCGAACCTAACATGACTTGGAGCCACAAGATGATGGTGAATGTTAGATCCTCTTTGTTGTTAATGGCTTTTCGAACTAAAGGTGAACTGCGTTTTGGTGCTTGTTCCACGTCCCAAACTCGAAGATTTAAGATGTAACAATACCGCATATTTATAAGATGAATCTCATAAGTATGCAAGGCAATATAAATCGAACTAAATCAAAATCTCTAATAATCTCTAAAATAATACTTTACAGAATTTTGAATATACAAAATTATACTATTTACAAGTTGATCGAATATATTAAAATTCTTATTAGCAAATCTTTTAGAATCAATAATAAAATACTCATTCGAAAGTTATAGCAAGCTAAAGATAGATGCTAATATTGCTAATTCAAGTAATTGTCAAGATTAAGTCTTCCAAGATACAAACATCCAAATATGAAAAAATAAAAAAAATTAAAGGAATGAGTAAAATGACTTAGTAAATTATTGATATACCCTCAATTATATTAAGCATGCCATAAAATATTTCGGTTAAAACATTAACTAAATGATTCAAAAATATTTTGGGTAGTCTTGTATTCAAACATATTTTCACAAATCATATCTCAAAATCAAAATCTCGATTTCAAAGCCAAATAAAACATCACAAAATCATAAAGTTTATTAGTCTCCAGTAATATATTACGACCACACTTAATCACAATAGTATAGGTCAGAATCAAAATTTCTCATTTAGTACAATGAGACAAAGGCATATCAGGGGCAATCGAACAGTTGTACTGAACAATCATAATTACCTCGTTAGGGCAATGGGATAGAACAAAGATCACAGAAACCCGTTTAGTGCAATGGGACAAAAGTAACTCCTTTAGTGCAATGGGATGAAAGCATATAATTGATCGTATAATGAACAAAAATTACTATTTTCAACCAATAGCACGGTTTAAAATTGGTATCGATATCACAAAAATACATGTCAACATAGCCAACAATTAACCCATTGGCAGGGTCAAAACATAGTCATAATATGAGACAAAGCCAAATATTTTTTCAAATTACCTAATATAGATAAAATCGATATTCATATACTTTCTCAAAAACATAATCTATACAAAGTCATTTTTATAATTACTCGAAATCAAAATTTCATATTTCCACAATCGATAAATATATAAATATATATATACGAAATCATATTCAAAAATAAAAAAATATCAAACCATATTCCAAACTCATAACAAAGAAATCATATATATATTTTTGTATGTTCAAAACAAATGAACAAAATAATATATATTATATATTTCAACTCTAAACATATTGAGGCTAATTTTTAGGGATATAAAAACCGAAAGGATATTAAGTCACTTACCTGATGTGTTAAACCAAAACTTAAGCAGGAAATTACTCAAATTTTTTAATATCTTCCAAATCTTCAATTGCATGATTAAATTCTCAATCTTAGCCATTCTCTTATCTTCCTTAGAGGTTTTTTTTTTTTTTTTTTCAATTTTTGTATTCCTTTTCCTCTCAGAAAAACTGTCAAAGAAAAACTCGGCAAAGTTTTTCTTCTATTTTTGTTTTTTTTTAAAACATATAAGCTAGGTCAACTAATTAGGATATGAAATAGGACTTAGATATTATATACTCCCCCACTTAAAAGAATTTGGTCCTCTAAATTCAAAATCCAGATCTTAAAGTTTAATAGCTTCAATCAAGTCTTCTCCTTATTATTTCTCGCATAGCCAAATCGATATAAACTCTAATGTATAAAATATATCCATTATAGCTTAATAAACAAATATTCTAAGTATCCAATCTCAATTCTTGTTCCAACATCCAATCATAAAACATAACTCTTGCAAATTTCATATACTTGAAACATAAATAATACTCAACTTAAATCATAGCTAGGTACAATCACCTTAATATAATTCTGGCTTTTTAAACGATTCTTTGCTAACAAAATCAAGCATAACAATTATACTACAATTTTACAATTCTTGTAATATCCCAAAATTTTAAATATCAAAATTTGTAATCTATTTAACATTAACCCATAACTCGTCTCTAATTTAAAAGAATTCATTATTTGCTAAATTAGCAATAATCCAAAATCCATAACTTACATCGAATCATGCTTTCACTGTGCACTTTGATGTCATTCAAATATAACCCAAAAACATCAAGATAGTCTCAACCAAAACTTGTGATGCCCCAATCTCACATTAGGATAATTTGAAATTCTGCTATGATATATATATATATATATATATATATATATATAGAGAGAGAGAGAGAGAGAGAGAGAGACTTACGTCAAAAGTTGTGAAATATTTTTTGTGAGAGAAAACCATAAAACTTTCAAATCAAAATGAATAATACTTCAAAAGTTGAGTGTAGATCTCCGTAGCTTAATGCAGTCAAGTTGAATATTTTCGAGCAACTAAAAACAAAAAGATATTCCAAGGTTTGAGTTTCTTAAATCTTTTAAACAGCCAATGGGATTAAACCATGTAACACTATATATAACTTATTATTTTATTCATCTTGGTAAGAAAAATTTGGAGCTTCCGAGTACAAAACTGAACATAGTTGCATGTTGCTGTCCTCAAGGTCTAGTTCTTTCTTTCTTTATAGTATTTACCGAAACCTAGCGAACACTAGTCTAACTGGACTGTAGGAATTGTCGGATATATCAAATCTCACATGGTTCATGTTCACACATGATTACATCATCCTTGTTACTTACATCACAGTGACAGGAAAATTTAGTAGATAAAATTTAGAATCTGATAACTTCTAAGTGGCATGCTAGTGGTATTTAGGAGATGAAATCATAAAACAGGTTAGTTTGGCTTAAATTTATCACCTTAAAATTAAGATCTAGGATTTGAATGTTTACATTTTCCAAGTGAAATACATGTACTTGTAGATGCTATTGAAGAATCAGATTGATAGCTTTTGCCTTTTTTGCTGCTTCAATTATGGAGCAAAGGAAATCTCTCCGACTTTACTATGCTAAGGAGTACCAGCCGGCTGGCCTCCATAATTTTCCATTTTTATCTAATGTTTTACCTTATAGCGAGTGGTCATTAATGGTGGCTACAAAGAGACAATTGGAAACATCCCTGCCATGTTGGACACAAACAAATTTAATACTATTAAAAGATTCAATAAACAAAGACCGGTGAACTGCTTTCATCACTTCTTCTGTTTTTATGCATGGAATTGGAAATCATGTAGAAACTTTCTGTTGCGATAGTGTGGAAAATTGTAACTTGAACACCAAGTAACAAACAGTATTCCATCTCTTCTCTCTATATAAAGAGCAGTTAACAAAGTTCAGAAGCACTTCAATATTTACAAAACATAAGGAGTTCTAGAGGGGGAAAAAATAAAAGTAGCAGAAAATGATGGTAGAAATGTGGTCTCTTGTAACCATGGGGTGTTTGATGGTTGGTTATGCCAAGTTTAAACAATTCTTCCCTTATCAATTTCCAGGCTATTTTGATAAGTATTTCAGAAAGCTGGTGAGTTTTGCATATCCTTATGTTGAAATCACCTTTGATGAATTCACCGGGGAACGCATGAAGCGTAGTGAAGCCTACTCTGCAATTAAAACTTATCTCAGTGACAAGTCCTCCGCGTCTGCTAAGCGGCTTAAGGCTGATGTTGTTAAAGATAGCCAGTCTGTAGTCCTTAGCATGGACTATAATGAGGAAGTTATTGATGAATTTCAAGGGGTCAAGGTTTGCTGGTCTGCAAAGAAAACTACTCCAAAAACACAGCGGATTTCAGGGTATCCTGATGATGATGCAAAGAAATTTTACAGGCTCACAGTCCACAAACGCCACAGAGAACTCATCACTCAGTCTTATGTTAGTCATGTGTTAAAGGAAGGAAAGGAGATTGCAACAAAGAACCGGCAGCAAAACCTCTACTCTAACAATCGTAGTCACAATTGGCACGGATATAAAAGGAGCAAGTGGAGCAATGTAGTGTTTGAGCATCCTGCAACATTTGATACTCTGGCAATGGATGTAAAACAGAAAGAGGAAATCAAGAACGATCTCATCAAGTTTAGCAAGGGGAAAGATTACTATGCTAGAATTGGTAAGGCTTGGAAGCGTGGGTATCTCCTTTATGGTCCTCCAGGAACTGGCAAATCATCCATGATCGCAGCCACGGCAAATCTTCTTGATTATGATGTTTATGATCTTGAACTTACTGCAGTCAAGGAAAACTCAGAGTTGAGAAGGCTTTTGATTAATACGTCGAACAAATCAATTGTAGTGATCGAGGATATTGATTGCTCTCTTGATCTTACTGGCCAAAGAGAGAAGAAGAAGACGAAGGAGAAAGACAGCAATGCAGACGAGTTGGATCCGGTTGCCAAAAAGGTAAAAGAAGAGGGGGAAAAGGAGAGCAAGGTTACTTTGTCAGGGCTTTTGAATTGTATTGATGGACTTTGGTCAGCTTGTGGGGGGGCAAGAATCATTGTTTTTACTACTAATCATGTGGAGAAGCTTGATCCAGCTCTAATGAGGAGAGGAAGAATGGACAAGTACATAGAAATGTCCTATTGTTGCTTTGATGCATTCAAAGTGTTGGCAAAGAATTATTTGGAGATTGACTCTCATTCATTGTTTGGAGAAATTGAAAGATTGTTGGGGGTAACGAAAATGACTCCTGCTGATGTTGCAGAGAATTTGATGCCAAAATCAGATTATGACACGGAGGAGACTTGTTTGGAGAGATTGATTGAAGCTCTTAAGGTTGCAAAGGAGGAAGCAATTAAGAAGGCCGAGGAAGAAGCTCGTGCAAAGGCGGAGAAAGAAGAAAAGAAAAGGAACAATCTGTCTAAAGAAGTCAAAGAAGTGAAAGAAAATGTTGTGGCAGCCAAAGAAGTGAAGGAAAATGGTTTTGCTGCCAAAGAAGTGAAATAAAATGGTGTCACCCATTAATCTATGAAGTACATATCTGTGTGAATTTGAAGCTAATAAGATATTAGGATTGCGTTGATCACTGGTTATATTGCTATTTGTATTGGTTTGTGTGATGCTGTTCATGTTGCTATTTGTATTGCATTTGGTAGTGCTTTATAGTGTCTCCAGTTGGATTGTAAAATAGGAAAAACATTGATTTGTACAATGAGTTAATTTGGCAATTTCCCATAATTGCTTATTTTAATTCAATATTGCTAGTTATATTGGGAAATAAAAATTCAGTTTGTGTTTCTACTGGTTCAAAATCAAGTTAATAGAAAAGTGCAATGTGGAATCTCTGGTTGTTTTTAAGATTAATTCATGGCAACCACACCAATTTTCCTTCTATGTTCAAGATATGACAAGTTCCTTCCTCCCTTCAACAACCCTTAAATGAGCATGAAGTTATCGTGAAATCCATATGCACGGTTCACCTTTCGACGCACCTAAACTTACGGTTAGGACCAAAAATTTAAAAGATACAGTGTGTGCTAGTCTCTTAACTTATTAGTTTTGGTTTTTGAGTATCAATGCCGGTAATTTGCTTGTTAATCTAGAGTTCGAATCTTTATACCCCTTGCTTGAAACTAAAAAACTAAATGTTTAAGAAAAGATTATGTATGTATACATTGTTGTCGTTTTTGTGTGTGTGTGTGTGTGTGTGTTTTTTTTTTTTTTTTTGATAGGGAGATCTGCTAGTTGTCATTGATGGTGACTGAAAAGCAAAAAAATGTAAGTTGAGACCTTCCCGAAAGTTTCATATGCAAATGAAATTAACTACTCCGTGAAGACCAAAACTGAATAAAGAACGACCTTTGATTTCATTTGATCAAATTAAGTGTATTTGTCTCTTTTATGTCGCGCCTTACCTGGAGATTTAGAATGTAACAATGTCACATACTCATAAGACGAATCTCACAAGCATGCAGATATTGAACTAAATCAAAATCTTCAAAATAATACTTTTTAGAATCTCAATTCTAATAAATTATACCCTTTGCAAGTTGATCGAATATACTAAAATTTTTATTAATAAATCTTTTAGAATTAATAATAAAATTTTCACTCGAAAGCCAAGCTAAAGATAGATGTTAATCTTGTTTATCCAAATAGTTGTCAAGATTAAACATTATGAGATATTAACATCGAAAAATGAAAAATATAAAGAAAATTAAAGGAATGAGTATGATAACTCAGCAAGTAAACGACATTCCCTCAATTGGATTAAGTATGTCACAAAACATTTAAGCCAAAAATTAACTAAATGATTCGAAATATTTTAGGTAATATTGTATTCACAAACATATTCTCAATACCGGATTCTCATATCACAAAATGAAATCAAGTATCACAAAATTATAAATTTATTTAGTCTCTCATAACATACTACGGCCACACTTAACTCCTATAGCAGAGGTCAGAATCAAAATTTCCTATCTAGTGTAATGAGATAGAAATATATCAGAAGTAACTAGATCATTGCACTGACAATCATAATTAACCCGTTAGTGTAATGGAATAGAACAAAAATCACAATAACCTTTTTAATGCAATAGAACAGAAGTATATCACCGATGGTATAGTGAACAAAAACCACTATTCTCAATCGATGGCATGGTTTGAAATCGGTTTCGATATCACAAAGTACATGTCGACATGGCTAACAATTAACTCCCATTGGTAGGGTCATAACATAGTTATACTATAAGACAAAAACCAAAATATATTTTTAGATTAACTAACATATATGTTGCATCCATTTTGTCCGGTACTATTATTATTATTATTATTATTATTATATACTTTTTTTTTCTTTTTTTCTTTTCTTTTTTGAATCGTTTGACAAAATCTTGGTGCATTAAATGCACCGTCCCCAAAGTCCACAATCTCAACCACCGTCAGCCATTGGCAACCACCTGACACCCTACCTAACTTGGTAATGTGAATTTTGGCCACCAAAAGTCTACCAGGCTAGTTGAAAATCTAGGATTTAAATCTCAAAAAATTTGGGATTTGAATCCCAGAAAGTTTTATAAATAGAGCTTGTTTCCTACACAAAAAAAAAGGAGGAGAAAAACAAAAAACCTTGCTAAAAAAATTGCCAAATTTAAAAAAAAAGTTCTATTAAAAAAAAAAATAAAAAAAAACTAAACAAAAACCATAATCCCAAAGTAGGGGAACCTAGCACCAGCATAAAAAAAAAAGCAAGAAAAAAATTTTTTTTGACTGAAACTTTCAGCCCCGATGTAGACCATACATGATGTTTCCTAGCAGAAAGAAGGTTAGATCAGGACTTAAGAGGTCGTAAAGATTTTTTTGGTGAAATTTTAGAATTTTTTGATCATCGACAATGGTGGTCGGCAACCACCGACAGTTACTGGCATTATGAATGGTGATTGATAAAGAGGAGCTAAAGAGAGAAAGATTGAAAGAGGAAAAGAGTAGAGAGAGAAAGAACTAGAAAAAATGATCTGGAAAAAAATTGGGTTTTTATAGAAATTGCTAAAAGCCAAAACAACTCCATTTCAATAAATGTCAAAATGATATTGTTTTAAGACCTAAGGATCTATGTGTCAGCCCATGACTCGACTCAAGGTCCTCGCACTTGACCTGATGACCTGTTTCTGCCTTTGACTTCTGATTGATCCAATTGAACAGACCCAAACCGAATCAGATCGATGCTGAACCGTCAAACCAACCAAACGGCCCAAATCGGCCTTGACTGGGCCGTTGACCTGTCTAGTTAAGGTAAATTTTTTTTTGAAAAATTTATATTATTTATATTATTTTAAATGTTATTATTAGTATTTATGCATGTTAAAAAGTTTAAATTTATTAGAATAAAATTTTATTGAAATAATAAAAAATAAATAATGAAATATATGGTTAAAATTTTTGATAATTTTGTTAATTTTAAAATAAATCTTATAAAATAATTGATAAAAAATTAATAAAAAATAGTACGAATAAAGAATAATATAAAAATGTAAGAAAAAATAATTTTTATTCGACGATGAGATTCAAATGTACTCTGAATAGTGATACTTATAAAATCTCTAGCTGATAAGATTTTTTTTTTAATACTACCAACGTATTAGAGTATTTATAATGAGTTTTCAATATAATAAATTTTTTTTTTCGCTAAAGTAGTAAATAAATTAACTAATCTGTTAAAAATAAAATAATAAAGTAATAATAAAAAATGAGGAAAAAAAATATTATCCGAGGATGGGATTCTGAAAGTATTTTGAGTAGTGATACTTTACGAAAACCCTATGTGAAAAGATTTTTTTAAATATTACCAGTGTATTAGAATATTTATAAAAATATTTAATATAATAAAATTTTCTCTTTTCTTCATTAAAAAAATATAATAATAATTCAAAAAATTTAAAAGAATAAAATAAAATAAAATAAAATATGTGCATCAACATATTAGCATTTTGCATTGTATGCACAACATAGTTTTTATGAAAAGTAAATCCAAGCTTCCAAATATGAGATTCTAATGTATTATGAGAAGCGATGCCTAAGAAATCTCTAGATGAGAAAGAGTTCTTTTAATGTTATCAATGTACTGGAATATATTAATAATTATTTCAATAAAAAAGTTCTAATTTATTTTTCTTGAATAAAAATGTAACAATAAATAATAAAAAATATTAAAAAAGAAAAAAAACCAAAATTTTAATAAGAAAAATCAAAGAAATTATTTTTCAAATACCGAAAATAAGATTATTTTTATCAAAATCAATGGATAACACATAATTAATTGGTACCACTTTTAATGGGTGTTGTGGGGGTACTAATCCTTCTCCACACATAACTAATTCTCGGATTATACTGTTTCGTAAATCTTAAAATTATCTTTTTAATAAATTTTAATTAATTTTAAGATTTTATTAAAAGGATATGTTTTAATAGGTGGCCAATCGCACTTAACCAAAAAAGATTGGTGGCGATTTCGTTTTTCATTTTTTTTTCTTTTATTTCCAAATTCGTCGGGCAGACACAAAACCGTTATGATATCTTGGCGACTCTACTGGAGATGATATCTTTTTTTTTAGAGTCAGGCCAAAATTAACTACATGTTATTTTCAATTTTGCTTTAAATAGTATTAATCGGTATTTAATTTTAAGTTCCTAGATTTTGATTCCTTTTAAAAAAATATCAATCAAATATAAAAAGACAAATCGAAAACAAAAAGAAAAATTTCACACGTATTTTTTTTACTATGCCTTTTATGCTTTATTTTTCTGTATATATTACTCTCGATAAATTAGGATATATTTGCACACAAAATTATATGATGCACCTCATGCATGAGCTTTATACCCTAGCTCTGTCCCTTATAGGAAGAAGTAAAGTACTTATGCCCTTATGAGGTGATAACATTTGCAATAATAAGTGAAATACTTCCACTCAAATTAAACTTTTTCCATTTATAGCCTATAATGGATGAGGATTGGGATGCCTTACTAGCCTAACATGGACGATAGTGAGGAACAATTTGGGAATATTTAGATGTGTGTCAATCCAAACCAAGTATGTAATAAGCTATAGGCAGCCAACCTTTGGGTAGAGCTTTGCCAACCTTTTTTATAAAAAATGCCAAAGTCTAAGACATGTAAAATAAAAGTAAAAAACAAAACAACAAAATAAAAAAATCACAAAAAAAGGTCTTTCAATCTTAAACCATATCCTTACACTAACTCAACTTTATTTTTCTTTTGCTTTTCACATTAATCGTATCATACAGTCTTGCATCGATGTATTTGCTTTAGGACATCTTTCTCTCAAGAAGTTTTCATAGATCTCGTAAAACTATAGATTTACTTATCCTCCATCAATGTCCCATATGAGTCATTTAATCAAGTACATGTCTAGTCGAAAGAACCTTAGCAAAAGAATGAAGATTGCTTGCCTACCAGTTATGTATAAGAGTTATCCGAAAAAGTATATTTAGATCTTACACAGAATGATTTAGAAGACTTAGCCATCATCTGAGGTCAGTTAAGTGAAAAAAAGAAAAAAAGCTTTTGTAAGAAGTATGGATAGATTACATCCCTTATTCCAATAGTAATTGATGAATAGTTGATTAAAGCAGCTATATAATTTTAAGATCTATCGTATAGATGTTTCATTTTTAATCAAGAGGATTTGGTGCAAACTATTAAGGAGTATTCGATTTTTCTTGGAATAGAACTATAGTGTTAAGATAAAGTGTTTACACAAAAGCTAAAATCAAGTTATTGTAAAAAGTTGGCCAAGCTTATGGAGGTTAAAGTAAAAACCATATATTATTTCACAAAGCCTAAAGGTGAAGCTTCTCTGCATTAGTTAGGACTTTTTCTGAAATTTCATTCAAAGGCATTTAAATGATGATCAAGGCATGACTGTGTTTACTCTAGCATTGTATGGCATGGTAATATTTTTGAAGACTTTGAGTTACATTAAGATAATTGTGATGGATTTTTTCAAGCAAATTAAAACCCAAGCAATTAATCTTGTGCCAGCAGTCTTAGCAGAAACCATTTGGT